GACGGACCTCCTGAACCACAGAACCTCGTGGTTGAAAATGTTTCCCCAAAGCATCAAAAGATCAAGTGGACGGCCCCCTCGGTGGAAGTAGCGTGTCTCCACACCTATTTCGTTAAACAGCTGCTCGACGGACGCCAAGTTACAGAACTGACCATCCAACCACTTCCAAAGCAAACGTCATTTGGTAAGATGCCTTGGTTCAGCAAAAAAGTGCGTTGATTAATATTTTTCCTTCGGACTCTAAGCGATCATTTCTCTCACCAGTGCAGTTATACATTATAGAAAATGAAGATGAGAAAGGAACTTATAAATTGCAAACGCTCGCCTCAAAGCAGTCTCGACCAACTTGAAAATTTGGTCACTTCAATGTAGTGAAACGACGTTGCTAGTTAGAAAGACGATCCAACTGTTGGTAAACTGCATAAAATTTTCCAGCAAACTGGCAAATGTTGCGTTACCATAATGATGCGGAGAGTAGATGAGGATGAATACTTTAGGGACCCATCAGGCGATCCACACCCACCTCAAGCATTCTGGACAAGATTTCTAAACCTGCATTTTCTTCCATGAACTTCCTCATGTAAATTAAATTTTCTAGTGCAGGGAACACACTAAACAGCTAACTAAGCAACAGACTATGCGTATAATCCTCACGATATACAATCTTGACGCGAATCAGCGAAATGTGCCAGGTAAAAAAAGCCATTTTGACGGTTTCAGCCAGTGTTTCAAAAGTAGTTTGCACGCGCACTCTGGGCATGGGGATAGCTACATCAGTTCACAAGTGGCTACCATGTACAGGTAGACTAGAACACCTAGATCATTTCACATCATTTCCCATCAGAATTCGGCCTAATTAAACGACTGGGTGAGATCCACTGTATGCTCTTGTTAGGAATATGCACGCATCTGTCAAACTTTGATGTGTGAGACAGTTTATAGTCAAGCGCAAAACGGTGCAGAACAATCTTTTTGTGGCACTCACAAACGCTTTTTTCCCTGTAGGACAAACCGGGTTGTGACACTCGATTCCTTCGCCAATCATTGTAAAGGGTATAGTGGAATCTGCTGAATCGTAGAAATGGTTATTCAGCCAGGTGTAGGCCAAGTGAATTTCATTCCAATGCTTGGGTGTTACAGAATTTTGCATGATCTCAAATAGCACAGGAGTACACGGACTAAACCCCACCGAATGTGGTAGGTTTCATCTGGTCAGCTGGAAACCCAAACATTTTCTCAGTGGAACATCTTTTCGTGAACATCTTTTCAGCTGTTAGTGGTCCGATTACACCCTAATCAGTGTCACCTAAAGTAATCATCTTTCTCTCACCTAACGGCCCATATTAATTCAGTAAATCAGGCTTATTGGGCGAGCTTGGTAACGCTTTTGTGAATGTATTTCTTCACCGTCCGAGGACAAATCGTCAGTGAATGCCAGCGCACAAAACAATGCACTGACGATAATTCCTCGAGATGTGACGAAGCGTTCGCAATCGACTGCGAAGCTTGACAAGCACGCCGAGCGAATAGTGGCGCACAACTGGTGAGCTACGGACATCGTGCATTACAGTCTCGAAAGTGGTGTGTAGGCTCTGTATTAACTCTGCGCCGCCAATTTATAGATTTTAACAAAGTTAGGCATAAAATATTCTGTGAGAACGCGATGAAATCACCTGATCCATTTATGGTTTTTTAGCTTTATCAGGTAACCCGTTTACGGTGAGGGAATAACATATTATTTCGGATGAAGTCAATATTCCTTCCATTCAAAACTCTGTTCTCAAAATATTCGATATAACTACACGCAGATATTGTTTCCCCTATTGATTGTAAAGCTCAATCTAGACTGCCGTGATTCAACCAAAATCAGTGCAGATTTTATTTAGCAGAGTTGAATTTTGACGGCAGAATACGATGAGTTCGGAGCTTCTGTGCAAATGAAACATTCTTGTTTTGCTAGTCATCGACCAAAATTCAGAATTGGAACTTTTCCTACAATCAGATTTCAGTCTAACGTTAAGCGCTCTCAGACGCTACTCATATCCATTGCTTATCGGAGTTTATTTTCTACATCTGTGAATTCCATCTGGAATCAAACGAGAAATGGCTTACTTTCCCAGGGGCCACTCACATCTGTTAGTAATCATCAGGAGCTTACAGTAAGCCAGCAGCCATATATTACTGTTCACTAGCAGTTACGCTGATGACGAACTGTGCCGCCAAAACCAAGCAGAATCTCATTTGATCCTACGTTTTTCCTGCTTGTTGGCACATCTATATCATTTGCTACACCATTCCAGAGGCCCTTTTCGAAGTCTCGCCAGGATGTAATACATACACCTATAAAGTTCAGATACGGGCATATCCTGGTAACATTGAAGGCCCTGAAGTCCTGATCGAAAAGAAGACTATAACCTGTAAGTTCCAACATGTGTCGAACTTCTTTATTTACTAAAAGCCGATTAATCATTTGTTCCTCGTGCTCCTCGTATCCAAAGCGCTTAAGTGTATAATCAATGGATAATTTATTTTTAGTTTATGGGCTTCGAATCTATGGAATATCCGTTGCCTAAGAGCCTTTTATAACGTCCGATTTTATACTTCCGGGCCAACACGGCAACAGAGTCAAACGCAAAATATCCTGGGGTCCGCAAAAGCGACCGTTTGTGGCGCGGAGCAGATTCATTCCATCTGTGGCGCTCTTCATCATAAAAATGGCCTTTCCATTCACCTTCCAGCCTAAAAATCTGAAAGTGTTGCCTTAGCTTCTACGCTACCATATGGCTTGATTCAGAGGCTGCTGGCTTGACATGACACCACTCGAACGGCGTTAAGCCTGAAGTACTTACCAGAAGTCCACACAACCGCAACACATGGATTGAGCATCTACGCCACAATGTAGCATCAGTTACTGGCCAAACCAGGTTGGCTTTTACGTCCAAAGTCTTTCGATGTTACAAAAAGTGCGTTCCAAACCAAAGACATATGGCCGGACAGCCCGAAGGTTGCACGCCTGTTTGATGTTCCCGTCATTGCACTGGGTCGTATTGTGTGATGAAACGCGACTTCGGGCTACTGATATATTAGAGAAGAGCAACTTGTCGAAGGCAGACAATCGAGCAATAGAACATTATCGACATGTGCTCAAAGGTCTCTCGTACATATATAAACCAAGAAGAAAAACAACAGGAAGTGGTGAACAGTTTGACAATCGTCACAGTCAAAGCAGCGTATAAACAGGCAGAAGCGTTTGCTCAAATTGACTTGCATATTTCAAACCCAGAAGGTATATCGAGAAGGTTTCTTTACCCAACTGTCTCATTTTAATAAACAACCGGGAATGCTCCATCTATGACTCTGCCTTTGCAGATGTAGTCGCGCAAGATAGAATCATTTGGTCAAACAGGATAGTAAGCAAAACAATCCTTTGTAAACGCACTAAAACAGGGTCTAGCTTGAAAGGACTTAATCCTAGCTCACCACAATCACCCCGAGGTTCCTACATCTCTAGACACCCATTGAGTCAATCGGGATAGGAAATGACAACAAGAACGCTGATGATATCGGCTAACAGCCATCACTTACAGCATCTTCAACCAGACGCGTCGATAATATATGAAGCATTTCCATTTTTGAAAGACTGGGGGGGATAGTTGAATCCGTTCAAATCCGAGAGATTACCGCATCAATGGTGCAAAGGTTAAGTAGGTGTCCATTTGAAACGTCATATATGTTTCGAAAACGTTTGGGAAACAGTAGATAGATTTCGCTTTTGACACAAAAGCTTTGTCAGGCCAAGTCACTAAGTTACCACGTTGGTTGAGATTTAAGGCAGAAGAAGAATCAAGCAACTAAATCAAAATAAATCGCATTTGGGCATCTGCCAAATGATTTTGTTTGTAAGAGTGTGTCAGCAAGTGGTTAGCCCGATGAGAAACCCATATGGATTTGGGTCTAGCTTGGAGTCTGGTTCTTCCGGTTCGCTTCCTCTTAAACGTGGTCTACACATATTGTCCGTCTGTTTGGACGAGTCAGTGTTACATCGCGGTGCATACAGAGCATCCCGTCGAAATGGCAGGGCGATTTCAATGTAGTTAGCCGGTCCAATTTGTACACCGCCTCTAATGGAAGAAGTGGCCCACTCAATGACATGATATGGGAATCTTACTCGCCCTGGGTGAGTAAAAGCAGTGTGATTTCCAGTTGCACTATTGCACAGTGCCCCATAAACTCTGGTAACCAGCTTAATCCAAATCTTTACATAAGTCAAGCAAAAGCCCCCGACGGTTTAACACTTCTTCGGCCCTACCAAGTAGTTGATTTTCCACAAACATTAATGTTTATAGGCTGAACGTTTTCATAGTTGTCACCAAAACACTCAACATATAGCTACAAACACGCATTTTATGGAAAAGTATGAATCCTTAGCAGTATTCCACAGCCAAGGTGAATTGGAAGCACCTAACATCAAACTGTGATGAAATTCATGAGTAAGACTTGTAATTTCGCTTGAAATTAGACGAAACCACTATCTCTGCGGACAGGCAATTAGGTGAGGTGGTTGCATTATCAAGCGCGCTATATGATAAGTGAAGCCACATATCGAATTGAGGAAAAATGTAAAATGAAACAATTAACATTATTGATACAGAACGTCTGCCAATTGTTCAGAATGAATTTGGAGGATCCACATTTTTTCCCAGTGTTTAGCAGTTGGATTAACTGGCTTAGAAACTGATTATCCCTGATACTGGGTTGCGTTGGCCTGTATAATCGTTGCTGTTTTCTGTTTTTATAGTCGGTCCAAAAGGTCCCACAGAGGCTCTTCCCCAGAGGAAACTAATTTACATCTTTCGATGAAGTCAAATTCTGATCACTTGACTCAGTTTCTGTCGGAGCTTTGTGCGCGCAGAAAAGGAAAATTGGTATCACAATCCGTGCTTGTCTGTTACACACATATAAACAAACCAGCGGCATTCACTGTTTTAAATTCAGTGGTGCTGGCATATGTGTGCACATTTGTAAGAAAATGCAAGGTATAGAATGAATGTTTACAAAGCTGAGCGAAATGCTCGGGTGAGGATGCGGAGGAGGTACAGCGAGCTAGTCAAATTGTGGTCAAAACAACAGTATTTTTTTCAGAAGGAAGTACATTTTACGCCGTCGCCAGCTTGATCTTGACTAGTTTCTGAAACATAAATATTGATCTCTATTTCAAGCTCCCATTAAACCGGAGGAGCTTACTGTTACCTCGACCGGCGCTTCAGCTGAGGCCATGGTGTCATGGAAGTACAATGCTCCGTGCAAAGCAACCGGATACGATGTGACGGTATATGATGAGTCCGGGCGAATAATTCGCACTGAACGGTCGACAACTGAGCAAATACGTATCCAAAGGCTTCCGACTTGTGCCCATCTCTTTGTCGGTGTGCGTACCCGTGTTGATAATATCAGTGGTCCAGAATCAGAAGTTAAAGAAGTCGTCATAAATGAACGTAAGTGCTTCAATATGTTTAAGTTGTTGCTTTTTTAATACCATGGTTCTCCATCCGAAATAATAATCAGCTTCCTCGCAGAAACTAAGACCGGTTTTAAGTTAGTTTTTGACTCTTGATACTCAGGACATCTCAGACATAGAAGTTGTAAGCTGCTTATTTATTGCACGTACGTAATTGCTTGCAATTTTCGATTTCTAATGCTCTCAGCAGATGCGAAACAACAGATCGCCATGTTGGATGTTACGCTGCCATACTTTGGCCACAAATTGCTAATGACACACGGCTTTTAGTCACTCCATTCCGTCAGGTCCTAACTAATTCTTCACGAGACAATTTCCCAAAGCAATACTGATTTGCTTACTGCAATGTTTTCTACTGTGCGTAGTTCATCCATATTTGGTAAGGTCCCGTGATGGGAGCTACATGACAACAAGTGCAAGTTAAGCAAAGTGTCCTCTAGACGACTTGCGCCTAAATGCCTTCCAGCTCCTCTGAGCAAGACTGTGAATTGAAAGCTGCTTAGAAATGCACCTGCGAAAAGCTTGAACAGGAATGTCACTTCCTTAGATTGCCTGTAAAATGGGTCTTTCGAAATGGAATAAATTCAGTTGTAATAGTAAAAAAAATGCTGGATTGTCAATATGAACAGCTTTAACCTGAAAATTCAGGGAGCTTTGTAAACTGTTTTATACAGGGTATCTGATCTCACCATTTGAGACTATGCCAGACTGGCCTCTGAATATGGGCCTTACGTCGTGCTCTATTTTTTCAACTGATCGAAGATTTACGTCAGTCACGTTTGTGTTTGTCTTCTTTCAAAATATATTAGCTGTTTTGTTACCGTTTAACACCATTTGGACCTTGAATCTGGTACTAAAGTTGTTTTATGCAAGTGCAAGATACGGACCAGAGAATAAGTACGGCGTTTCTGGTGATATTTCAGAACCGATTTGGTCCTGAGAGATAAGTGCAGGGAAAAAAAAACGTCGGATAATTCAAAGATGAAACATGTGGAATGGCCATGGTTATGCGCACACTGAATACCAGGATTACGTTCGACGAGTAGGACAACTGAAAGGGAAGCAGATAGGTTGTTCCGTGGTGGGGACTGAGACTTTCAGTGGAGTCCAGCTCTGAAAGTTGCAATAGAACGTAGCTATAGTGTGTCGTCATCGGAAATTGTTGTCGGAGAAGACACATGAGAGTGTTCCATGAATAAGCATACGTATATATATACATATGCATATATGCATATATAGATGTGTACAAGGTCAGGGGGATTATCGTCAACCGTATTTGGTTATTAGGGCTTCAGAATGGGCAGGTTCGGCGTGCAACCCGTTGTACTCTTGGCTAACGAGAACGTTTGGTTAAAGTCCGTGCGCAAAGTTTAGGAAATTATATCGCGCTCAGCAGGTTAGACTCTAAGGGTGCACAATGTGGCGTCACCTCACCTCCCATATAAAGAAAATAAAACCCGTACAAAGCAAAGCTGCCATGGTAACAGTTTGGGCATGTTTTGACGAATACTCGACGAGGGATTGTGAGTGGAGATTTTGCAGAAGTGACCAAGTGATGATGAAATCAAGGATGACAGTTCTAGTTTCTGTGGAGTTAAAAATAACCTTACCAAGTTGTGGATTTTCAAATCTCACTACGTTCTAAGGCATGCATTGCCCGTCACGAAGGGAATGGATCTTATTGCGGTGGGATGGTTTGTGTACCTTGGCGACTCAATGAACTATGCTGTGGGGCGTTCGCGCGACACTTGCAGTCCCTCATACCAGGTTGGTCAAAGGTCGACGAACACATACTCCTTGTCCTCCAAGTTGGGGATTGGAGCATATGCGGCGACGTGTTAACGGTAATGTAATGCTTTTCCCGTCAAAAATCACTGCATTGCGGTCACGCTTTTGAGCCAAAGGCCTTGGCTGGGGAACCTAATCGTCCTCCTCTCTTGATGTGGGCGCTCTGACAGTATCCCAGCTCATATGAAACCATGATACCTGTGTCTAACAATAAACCCATACCACATCGGCCGTCACGTGGTGCCATCGGCCCTGTCGACTAAATCGCTGCATAGATCGGGCGGGTTAGCGAAAACACGCTGCTGTTGGCACCTCCCCTCTTTCTCTTTCACGTACTTCTTCTCTCCCCCATCCCCACCCCACTAATAACTCTCCCGCTGTAGGCTCAATACATAAGATTAATAACTGCTTGTCCTGCATGGGCTTTTAAGGCAACATCTGCGCGTTATCCGGCACCGAAATCCTTGGACATCTCGAAAACAATATTCAAGCGTCGACCCCCAGTCTATCTGGGTGCTTTCCACGATCCGAAGCAAGCACAGGCCACAACCCACTCTTGGACCTGTTCGGAATTGACGTGTGCCGTGTCTCAGCAACAAGAATTCAAGATGCAAACACAGTGGTTGAGCTAACCGCCGCCAACACTCTTCATTCTCTGAGAGGTGCGGCAGGATATGCAGGGTTTAGTATCTCGGCGGAAAGATCTTTCTTTAACTGGATACCTGTTGTTACGGCAGCAATGCATCAGTGTTGAACATTGATGTTATGCTGTCGATGACGATAGCCTAGTCCAGCCTATTCCTTATACCTACGAAGTTTCTGTGAAACCCAGGAGATAGAAGTGAACCGTCAGAAACATCCTGGGTGCTGAGGTCATCAGATTTCCAGGTCAACAACGCAGGATTCTTTCAATTAAATGGACGCGGGTAGAGGGTTGGTTGTCATGGATGTTCGTGAGATTTAAGATGTGAATTAAAGTCGCTTCATCATCTGACACATTTTGCTCCAACACGCTGTCTTCTGACGGTCTCCAGTTCTCCTATAATAGGCTATCAACTTATGTGATCGTTTTTATTTCTAACATCCTCGTAGTAACCATTTTCGTAATTACTGATTTTCAGGTGTAGAGAGGATGATCTGTGTGGAACTTTTGGGGACTGTATGTTTTTTAAGGTTTGAGAAATTATTTGATTGTGTGTATTTGTACCAAAGTGGGTAGGGTATTACTATTGTATCGCGAATGAAATTTCCGAGTACTAACCACAGTTATTCTGTCCTTTGTGTGATAGTATTTTTAAGAGAGAGCATGACTGCCCGTTTTTTGTTCTGCTACGAGCTAAATTTCTGGTTTTGCAGCAGGATAATTTATGTAAGAAAACTTCTTTACCCGGTAGCATACTGCAACATCTTTATTGTCTTCTTCTTTGCATTACGTGTTAAATTTGGAAGTTCAAATGATCGTCGAGGATTTAATGGTCGAAAACGTGGGTGACAATTACCAAAAGGTTACCTGGAAACCCGCTCCCGTATCATCTTATGTATGTCGTCGAAACTACGTGGTAACACAGCTTCGTGCTGCAAGTAATGACCAACCGACGGTTGTCAAGGTTAAAGTCGCCGAAAAATCTGGTAGGTGCTCACAGGAGGTACAAATCATTTTTGCCCATTGGGCCCAGTCACTGCTTTGTTTACTCCAACAAATCAAAAGTAATTCAAACGCTCATTTTCAAAGACTGATTAGTTAAGACTTTTGGAGAAAGTGTTTGAAATACACTGCATAAATCAAACATCTTCAGTCAGCATCGAAAATAGGGGCGTAATCAGAATTGCCAAGTGTGGCAAGTGTTCTCATGAGATCAAACGCTTCACAAAAATCTGAAAAAATGGGCTTCTTGTAAATGGGGAAAATAAGAAAATTCCTCTGGATATTGCACTAGGGATCATAATGCTTTTAATTTAGATTATTCACTGGTGTCGCGTTTGCGTCTTTTCAGTCAACGTAAGCATTTGGCTGGCTCACTGGCTTTCACGACCTTTTTAGATGCCTGTCTTCCACACTGTTGAAGTTGTCTATGATGAAAGACGAGTCAGCAGGGACTAAAACGACCATAATTTGGTCGAAATTGTATTGCAGCAAATAAAAAGTCAAAGTATGACACTCCGGCGGCTAAACAGCCTTACAAGAAGTGGACAAATTTACATTTCCAAACTGTGCTTCGTATACAACTATGCAGTGGTGATAGGGAGGAGTACGTTAAAGAAAGAAAGATGATTATTCTGGCACTTTACTATGAAGTAAAAAATATCCATTTTCTCATATATATTGGCGAAAGGGAGACGGCCTTTGCTGCGGTGTTGTTTACTAGAAAACGTAAACTAGAAGAGTCACAGACTACTGGACATGAAAGCAGAACTCATACATACATCTTGTTTTAAAAAACGAAACGCATCCGTCCTCTTCTCGAACCCGTCTTCCTGAACTTTCTTGGATACTCGTTGGCTATCATTCAAATGCAAACGAATTCCGCAAAAAAATTCCACAAGTTCCGTAGAAGAAATTTCACTTTTCAATGGACACGATGGGGAGTTACGAGAAACCACACACTACTTGCATGCCATCAGTAGTATCCACCGTTACACCGTTACCAATCGCGGTAAACAAAAGAAACTAAGCGGGATTTTATTCTGCCCCCAATGTCTGTTACAATTCTTCACTGATTAAAATTTCCGTCCTTGTGTTTTTTGCATGGTAGAACTAATATTTAATACCCACCCCGGATGCAATACTTACACGTACGAGATCGTTCCAATTGAGGAGAGCACAGGAGAAACTAGAGGTACTCCTGCTAGCCTGACAAGAAGATCCCAACCGCCAAGTGAGTGGAATTTGTACAATATTTGTGGTCACCATTCATGCGTAGCTACTTGTTCCAAGTCTAGTTGCAATGTATATTAATCAATCAAAAGCACGTCTGTTATATAGTTATAAAGAAAACAAATCACGCCCATCTCTATCACTTCCAAACACTTCTTATTAGAGGGAGCCTCTTGATTTCATGAAACAGATAGAAGCAAGTACCAGTAAGTGCACAATTCTGTCGAACGAGGGAAGAGCATTGTTGCTGCAGTGCCTTAGGTTATCAGTCTGGATTTCGCTGACTCGCAAGTTTACATATTGGTTGTTCTGTTCATCATTAAGTTGTTGCCTGAGTAATATAAATGGGATACGCCTTTGTTTCCCTGCTATCCACATACATGAGCACATCAAAGGACGCTGTCACCCACACGCTGTCAGCCACACAGTGACTGAGTTTATTCCACTGCGGTGACATCTACGTTCCGTAGGTAGGTATAAAATAATCTCATACATGCATTATATATATATTAGGTCATATTGTCTTCTAAGTACTTCTGTGCCCAAAAACATACTGGAACTACTGGGTGCGGGTGCTCAACTACCAAAGACTTGTTGTTTTGTCCACACGTGAGCTAATACAAGAAGGATGCCATGAAATTCCGGTCGCTTATTTTCCGTTACAGGCCTAATATGCGTTAAATAATCACCGTTCTACGCTATTTTTTGAACAGAACTACATGCTCCGACTGGGGTTGAAGTTGAGCAACAGCAAGGAGGTTTGGTTAAAATAAGCTGGAGGAAAGTGAACCATGAAATAAGCTGTGGGGTTTTGACGTACGCTGTCTACGCCAACAAAACTATGGGGAACGATTATACAAGGGTACCAGCGGCAGCGATTGAGACGGAGAAAGTCGTGCAGCTTGATCAATGTACGGATTATATCGTTTACGTTGAGTCAATCAGAACCATGGACAACCAAATAGAGCGCGTTCAATCTGATGCAGTGCGTCTCAGAACAAAGGTAGAAAGTAAGTCGATTTTAATAGAATCCCTATTAAATTTATTGATGAAGCACACAGTGGAAGGCGAGTAACAGTGCTTAAACTACTAATGGAGCGGTTCAACACGAACACACACCAACATATGCCAATACTTTGTTTACAAAGGGTCATTTTAACCTCGTAATTTTAGTTGCCATAAAAATGATACTATAAGATATGATAAGCCCCATGTTCACTGTGGTTCGTAATTAGACATACAGCGAGAGACCGCATATGGCAAGGGGTTTGTGACTGACTAAACATCGGTACCAATATTCCTCACCTTGACCGAATTCTGCTGTCACGTTTTGTGTGAGAAGACCCATCGGAACAAATTTGTAGAATACTGTGAATACTCTGTTCCACACACACACACACACACACACACACACACACAACTTACAAGCGCCCCACCACCGCAAACCAAACAAATTCTTTACTGCTCGAAAATGTTTCTAATAAACAACAAATCACTATCACAATTTGAAAAGCCTGTAACAAGCATACATGGAAAAATCACAGATTACCCGTTACCTGGGGTCCATGCGACACTATCCATTTGTTTTGGCTTTTTCTTCCCTACCACGTTTCTCACACTTTTTTGGTAGGTCTGACTTACTGTTCCGCAATTTAATGACCCAATTTTTGTTATACAGAACCTGCTCCCATCGTTTCGCTGGCTGTAACTGAGAGTAAAGCAACATCACAGAAACTGACCTGGGCTGCACCAACAAACCAGCTGAAATGCGCATGGTACGAGCTTTTGAAAGAGAAGGCTAGTAATTCCGGCCATCCGGTAGTCGTGCGCTTGGACCTCGTGGACACTTGTAAGTGCGGCACAACTTTTGTGAAAAACCTAATGTCAGCGAATCACGTTCATTTCAAATATATTTTCCGAAAGGCAGGTTCACGAGAATTTCCTTTAGGATGACTTTTTCAGCTCCAGTGAATGGTCATGGGATTGAAATAACATGTGCTGAGTTGTCCAGTCTGCCACTGTAATATTTACAGTAAGTCTATTTTGAAATTTTTTATTCCTTGCACCAAAATTTCAGCCCGGTTGGCCGCTGGCGGACGTGTGATTTTACTTTGAACCTTTGACCAGTTCCGTACTGATTTTGGCCGTGAACTTTGACCTTTTGACTGGAAACCTGTTTGAATCCTGCCTGTCATCTTAGTCGATCTGCACCTGTGACCAGTAGCTCGTTAGGGGTACAAAAGCTAATCACTCTGATCTTTCCGGGTCAATGGGGCACAACCCTGGTCACTAATGAAACGCGCACTATCCAAAACTAACGCACCCTTAGGAATATCAGGATGAGGTTTAGGTAGAAAAGGTTGCTGGCGAATTGTCATATCCTGCGAGACCGTGCCTTTTTTGATGTAAACACGTTTGAGCCACAAATCTGAATTCAGCTGTTTCATCTGCCAGGACAAAGTCAATGGGCTGGGTCAGACCATTCCGCCGGCTACGGTCAGGTGGTGTTGTAACATGTTCCCCTGCCCCTGGAAGATATATTCTAACCCTAACCGGGCATATGTGTACAGCATGAAGGAATTGGCGTAAGAGATCATTGACATGTTGAGGGCTTGAATTTTCTGCTACACGTCAGTTATACAAATTTAACTACTTTGAAGGAAATGGACCCTATGTCACTAAGTAAGCGCGCTTCTGTGAATTATTGCTTAAAAAACCAGTAAGTCTAGAGAACTCGAGAAGACAGCGACAAATTGAACGACAAGGAATACATCAGAAGTTGAGCCTTCCGTCTACCAGAACCCTATTTACATCGATTTCGTTAACGTCTAGAAGTGTGCTTTCAAACTTTACACAAGATACCCTTTTATTCCAACAAATCAGTTCCCGAAGGTCATTTTGGCAGTAGACTGTATTACACAAAGCATCGTAGTCAAACAACTGACGCAGCAAATATATTCAGTTTCATCTGCTACTCGAGATAAATGAACCAGCGGATGCGAAAAGAAATATTGTAAATCAAAGTATTGCATCTGAGGAATGCCAATCATAAATCAGATTTTCAAACTAACGAATATGTTTTCGCCGTTGAAACACGGATGTTTTCAACTTTAGTAGTTTTACTCAGGGATATTATTACAGAGCATATCACTGCAGTTATTAACGATGTGACTAGTAAAATGTTGAGCAGGTGTTGATAATATAACTGGTCTCGCACCGTCGTTTGATTGGGAAGTGATTCTAACCGTGGTCCTGCGCTAGCCATTGGTTAAACACAAAAAGTGAATATTACTGTCGCTGTCCTTACAGACAGAGGTGAAATATAACGTCGAGGACGGCTGATCCACAACACTTCCCCCGCCACACACACAAAGGATGCATTTGGGATGCAACTGCATTCATTCTAGTGAATTTGAAACTATTGTGTGAGGATCGTCCCGAAATGTAGCTATGAATTTCAAAATTAGGCGAAGGTGGAAGTGAAACGTGACAAAATTTTGGCTCCGTGCGCGAACTTCCACGAATGAACCAAACTACTCACAAGGGAGGTGAAATATATCTCGTCTAGGCTAAATTTTGAGGCAGCTTTTGGGCTTCATGTGCAAGAATGACTGTCTTCTTTTAAACTCCCATATGCCTTTCTTCCACATCAACTGAACACGCAGAATTTTCAGTTATTCATAATCCAGTCCTGTTTAATGGTGGTTGAGTTCTAGTCTCGAAACCTCCAGTTATAATGCAAATATTTTACATTTGGAATCCGACAGATTCCACACTTTCGATTTACAAATCATTGTATCCACATGAAGAATACAGCGGTTAGCTTAACATTAGACAGCCCGTGTCATTGTTTAAGGTACTAATGTATTTTAGAATAAAAGTGAATGATAGCCTCTGTACGACAAAAATTTCGAAACCTTTTGTTTATACTTATCAACCACCATTAGGCTTTATCACTAGATTGCGATAAGTCAGTCAAAACGAAAAAAACTTTGACTATGGTTGGTTCCTAAGGAGCTGAATATGGTTAGCTAATTTACCTCAAGAACTACAATTACTTTGCTAAATTTTACCCGGTTCTTAATAAGAGTTCTCGAAAATTGAAATAGCAGCTATGGGTAATGTGTCGGAATACTGGCACTTCGGGTAATTAGTAATTGATCGGATGGCTGTTGATCTGTTCGCCGAGATTAAAAAGTTGATTTGCAAACGTTTCGTCGCTATTCGGGGAGACGTGTTCAGTACACTTTTGGGTGGGCAGTTGCTCTCTTTGTGCTTGCGTTTATATAGTTTACAAGTAGCAGCTTTGAGCTGTAACCTGATTGGCCGCTGTTAATAATCGCACTTGGATTCTGGTTGGTGCTTCCATAATCTGTGTTACGTTGTGGTTTGTATTTCCTGCTTTCTACGTAAAATTATTCTGTCAGCTGTGGCGCTCTTCCCGTGAGGTAGTTGGGTGGTGGAGTTGCTGCCAGTCTACCCAGTCCCAGGCAGGAATAACCGAGATGTTAGAATCGCCTTCATATCAGTATAGTCTTTGGATTAATATTTTCGGCATCAACAAGTGACCTATTTCGACGCCGAATATAGCCCATAGAAGGGGTTCACAACGTCACATTTGGTATCAACCCTTTACTGGTAGTAGTTTGGTTAGCAAACGGGCTGTCACTTAATATTTAACAGTATCCACTTAATGTATCAGAATATCCCAGCTCAACCCCGCGTTGACATCTTCAGGCCTATGTCTCCGTGCGGTTTTCGAATCACTGATTATCTAAACATTACGGCGGATCATGCCTTGTGCACGCCTAATAAGCCTTCTGGCACAACTGAATGAGAAGAAAGCCATCTATTATGGGTACCGAGATTTGGATATTACCCTACTGTCAAGCTGTTAGGACTGGAATTTTGTGGGGCAACAGTGAAACCCAATGAATTCAGTGTATTATCGGTTTGCATCGTCTGACAACCAAGTCACCTACGTTAACTCTAGTCAATAGTTGAATTAAAGTATCTCAGAAACGCTTTCAGCCATATGCAGTTTTTCTTCAAAATTGACATAATCCCCAATACATTGCTTGCGAACTACACATCCTAATATCTTCACGCGTGGCCACTTTTGACAGCCTTTCTATCAGCTGAGGTCGTACAAATGAATTTAGCTAACCGATCAAGATCCCAGTGGGGATTTGACTTGATAACGGAATCTAGGCGAGTCAGATCACTGATACCACGACTGGTTGCAGTGGCAACTTTCTTAATCTCAAGCCTGCCAGCCCGGCATTCACCAAGCTGCGAGTGTTCTATCAAACCGCTTCGTTTTCAGGCTAAGGAGTGGAAAGGCTTATAAGTCCAACAGGCAAAATAATGATCAATGGTAGCAAGTCGCTCGCTCATTGATTGGATGATTTGGCTGACTTATATGTCTGGGTGAGCTATGTATTCCGGATGCACAAGGTATACAGAGGGTATCCCCCCACACGCACCAAAAGCCGTTTTCACAGAATTTGGGCTTCCGAATGTGAATGATCGCGGTTCTCATCAGAGTTGAGCTTGTGTGCTTGGAAAGCGAAAACAGTCAAAGCAAACTGCTTGTTTTCAGACCATCATTATAGAAGACACCAAAATGCCCAGCAAAAAACGGAGCGGGATACTGATTTTTGACTTTTTACACAAAGTACGGTTTAGATTTGAAGATATGCTACATAAATAAAACACATGTTGCATTTTACCTGAGTATTTCGGAAGAGTTCTTAAGGGAAGAGACAGCCATAAAAAATTCATAAGGTTGCGCAAGGCGTTTAGTTAACCTAGATAGTGCTTTGGGTTCATCAGAGCCCGAGAAATTACTTTCAAACCCAATAGAGATTTTGCACCTTACTCATTCGAAATTTGTGGAAAATTGTCAGAAAAGATGGGTCGCCAACTTATTTATCCTTCTTTTGCGTGGAGCACATTCGTTCAGTTTCGAAATGGATTTTTGTGATGATAAACTATACCTTTCTGTATTCAGAGGGCAAAGTGCAGTTTTGCCAAGTTGATAGAACCCAGAAATAGTGGGCAAGTTAAACTCTTCTAACTTCTCTGTAGTATCCCCTATTCTCTCCGTCACCAGATTGTATGCATTATTATTGGGTTGTCGCCGGGAATTCAGAATTACTTTTACACTTCTGGGTTCTTTGTATTGATCCCGGGCTAGGCAGTCAAAACGGATCCCAATGAAATCCACTCTTTATAGCGGTTCTCCCGTCAAGGCTGATAATTTGGTCAGCTTATGTTGTATGTACCCGTGTCCATTTCCCTCAGCATACGAATTCCAACACCTGACACCTGGGACTGCTTACAAGTACAAAATTCGTGTTGTTGCTGACGGAATTGCAGGAGACTATTCGGAACAGGTTATTCAAGCGACGCACACTTCCGGTACGTCCAAGCAGACTCTTTAAGCATTCTGCTTTACGCGCTGTGTTGCATTCACTGTTCTATCTCATTGCTTTGTTTGATGATGATGTCCACTCCAAGGATTGCAACGAGTTTGTTGAATTTGACAATGAGTTGACTGAAGAGGTAACGGAACTAACTGAACCGTCTGGTTTGGAGAACAACTAAACTAAGGACTGTGCACTTCCGTTTCTGATGCAATTTACGGTCGGTTCTACACACGTTAATCCAACCAGGCACACTTACTCCAGCGACTGCCCTTCTGTTAACTTGTAAGTGGTAAACAGTGAATGGTACGTCAGTACAAGCTGGATGTCTGTTTGTTCGTTCGGTTGATGCAGAATATAAGCAAAGATTTTTAGCCGCATATTTTAGCCAAATATTTTCCTCTTCCCCGTCAAATAACCTGAACGGGTTTTGCATTTAGCTCTAACGATTTCCGTATTTAACAGCTTACTTGTGACAGGAATTCTGCTGACCATTTTATCGGCTCTAACCAATGTACCATACGGTGTAGGCATCCGGAAAGTTACGTGAAAATTTCACATCCTGGCAGGAAAATTGTTCCAATGCAGCCTTCTGTGGGTCGTGTGGATAAAGGTTTGATATTAAACGTGACCCTGTTCCACTCTTGATGGTCGGAATTTTGTGATGCTGGTAAGTGGAAGTTAATTCTGCTTGAATAAATAAATAAAGGGTAGCTGTAACGGAGAAGACAAACCATGGTCCCAAAAGTATTTTCAGTCACGTGCAACCTTAAGTGAAAGGATAAGCGGTTCAAAGCGCGAGCGTTCTATTCTATCTACCATTAATTTTAAAGGGGTTTTAGTCCGGTGTTGCTCTGTTGCTGCGTCCTTTCTCAAACCCGTTTAGTCAACCAATTAGTCAGGGGACATTACTGCATTGAAAAGTGGAGACGTAGTTCAGGTGTTTGTCGTTGACGAGGAGCTAGGTTCAAAAATACATTCCAGGATGCGCGTTAGAGGAGCCAGTTGGATTGTCAGGGATTGCCCTAAAGTTACAGATGTCTTTTTCCCTGAAATATGACTGATCCTCTCTCCCGACAGTTTTTCTCACTGAATACCGAAAGGCTTGATTTCATGCTAGATACAGACAGAGGTCACCTTACGAAGAAAGCTCATAACAACGGAACGGCTGTCCACATCCGTCGGGACCACTATCAGTTGGCAGCGTGAGGTCTGCTTCAAAGTGCTATTTCTGGTCAGTCACCCCAAGTTCCCTCGAGATTCTGGAGGACATATTTGTTCCTCGCAAGTCCCATTAAGCGCTCCCATTGCCGCACACTCATTGCCCGGCAGTCAGGCAACTATCATTCGGAAAATGGTGCCAATCATTTCGTAAGGAAGATATTCACAATTCAGAGGATGAGTACCATTCAGGATTTTTGGAGCCACTTTAGTTTAAATGTTGCTGCATTAAATAAGCTAATGTACCTGCGGTTTGGACATATTAGTGGATTTATTGAAAGTGAATACTTTCAGGAAATTCCTCCGGAGTACCGCATGTGCCAGGCTATGAGTGCGCATCTGCGAGCGTAGGGTAAGTCGGAGAAACAAGATTTAACCGGCCGATCTAGATTAGCCAGTTATCGAAAATTCATATCACAACAAAATATCCGCTAGAGAACATTCGTTCAGCTGTAATATCCTTCCAGTGTCTACCTGCCATGCCACCCGAAGGAGGGCTGAGATACTGTCAGGATGCCCAACCTTAGACAGGAATAGTCGAGAGGCAGAGGTCGGGTTTGGTCAGTAAATTCGCACTCTAAACGCTTGAGTCATCTGCTAGACCGGAACCTTAGACCAGCCGGAGACGTACCGATTTACGGTGAAAATTAATGTTAAACTACTAATATTCACTGCTGTGTATGTTAGTGCTCTAGTTGTGACGTAATTAAGCTAATTATCAGAAGTTACTAGAAGGTGATGAATACAATAGTTAGGTGCGCTTGATAGAAATAGATACAATGCGAAAAGTGGAGTAAGCCAAAAGGTGACTTATCGTTTGCGGACACATGTTGAGAGTTCCTGAGTGAAGTTCCGGGCGCGAGACGTGCCTTTTCTGCAATATAGCTGCTACGCGTGATCCGTAGATGTCCGTGGAGACTTGTGGAGCTCTGTTGACTTCCTGTCCTGTGCGCGCGAGTATGTGTTAAGCCTGGTTGTATGCCTATTTATTGTATGCAGTGTGAAGAGAGGGGTGTCCCTTCGTGTTTGATGCTTGCACGAATATGAATACAACTTGACCTGATGTATTAAAGTTCATAAACCTGGGGCGTTACGCAAGTGGTAGCCGCGTAAACAAAAATGGATGAGAATTTGTAGTGTCAGGTTGTCGGCTAAGGTTGCAGGTGGGACAAAAATTGTCACGTAGTTTGAGTAAGTGTGGCGCGTGAGCTGATGTGTGACCTCTACATGTACACAGGCAAACAGAAACAAAACAGACGGCAGAGCTAGTGAATGGATGCCTCTAAAACATGAACTTTTCATACAATCACTAAGATTATAACGCTTCCGGGATCAAGCAAAAGACTGAGACACAGCTAAGTTATTTGATCTGAGGTAGACAGTGTGCCTGTCATAAGTGGGATCAGACCATGTCACACCGGCCTAAGCATATATTTTAACCTATGAACTATCTGTAGCTTGCTTCTATAATAGAAGCTGAATAAGGTTGGTAAAACAGGTGTGACCGAGCAAGAGCAGCAAAAAGTATTCGAAAGAATCAGTCGGTATTCTGATAACACATAGCATTTTGAACCTCAAGAAAGAAGAGCTTTCCCCTCTTTACTGCTCAGGCATCATATTCCCAGATTTACCCTCAAGTGTTGTATCTCTGGTTTCTTTACGACAGTCTGGGCAATGGAAACTCGGAACTACAACACATGTAAAATCCGCCATTAGAATAAAACCTTTTGAAAGGATTTCATCACGCACAACATGTGTGACAGAGCATATCCCGAGTAGAGGTAAGCACCGTCAAGACACTTGTCTTAAATTAGAGTGTAGGTAAGTACGCAGATACTAATACTTAGGGTGTGAAATAAGTCTTTTGCAACCCAAACATCTGGATAAATTACCTTCCATCTGCTGTCGGTCGATCAGGATAATCACGAAAACGCGAAGGACACTTCAAAAGGAAATGTGGCAAAAGAAGCTGGAAATGTCTGGTCGTTAACAGGTCACTTCTGATACATCTTATTTACGGTGAATGCGTACGAGCTATGATAAATGATTCCGAATAGTGCCCGCATGTCATGACGATGGGCAAATAAACGAATTGACGTAATCACTGGTCAACAGTGCCCTTACCTATTCAGCTTCAATCCCGGTTGAGTGACTCCCCTGTTGTTCTCCATCCTTTTTACAGCGGAAGATGTTATTGAGGGCGAAGGAAATTCGCCCCTAGTGGTCATCAGTTCTGTGGATTCAAGGACAGTCTTAGTGAAGCTAGATCTGTCCACATTAAATTCGGTCAAAGGCGTACAAGCAATCACGCTCCTTGTAGAGCCACTGGTAGAACTTCCAAAAAAACCCTCACAGGCTTACAAAAATTCAGCGTTTCCAAACTCCTTAAATGAGGTAAGTGTATGCTTCACAACTTCCGTCTTTTATCATTCCAGTTCCCGCAACAATGCCGATGACCTTGGAAATTGCGAATGATTCTTATCACCTTTTACTCTAATGCACAGGTCAGTCAACATGCATAGTCACCAGTTTGATCGCTTTTGGCCAACTCTTCGAGCAAAGTCGAAAGCTGTCTTTGACATACACTCCTTCACAGCTCGTACATGGGGTGTTACTTCAATAGGGCTACAGGTATGTGAACGAGCCGCCACCAATGAGAAAAACGAAAGACGTTCGTGACAAGCTAAATGACCTACCCTGAAGGAAGAAACACAATTGAAAGTACGCATGAAGAAAAGTCAGAATAGAATACATGGTGGTTCGAGGGTTCACTTGTGAGCACGTGTCCCGTACTGCATCTGAGCGAGTGAGGAAGGTCCACAGCAGTCGAACGAACATGCAAGCAATGCCATCTGATGCTTCTGTAGGTAGCAGGACCCGAAGCCAAACATGGTGCGTTGAGAATAGTAGACCAAAGCGGACCGGTTTTGATTGCTACGTGAATTTGTGCGATGATTAGCTCTCAGTAATTCGGTTCCCTGAGAACAATCCGGATTTTTACATGACAGAATCATATAATTTAATTTCATACAATTTCATACAAATATAATGTAGTCTAATGTAAGGTGTGAATGTGTGTGTTGTATGACTGCAATGAACGACAGTTCTCAGATTTACATCCCAACGTCATGAATACAAGAAAACATTCCTTAATTCATTCGTGACGTATTAATTATCAGCCTCCACAACCAAGAACTGATGACCATCATCTGAGAAAAAAGCTTCTTTACGGTCAATGCCATGCAGGAGAAATAAGCTAAATCGTCTTTTGGTCTGTGATCATGCCTTGGGGATGTGTAGAGTGAGTTTGACGGGTTCGGCCGTCGGAAATCTGCAGCTGCATATTGTATTTTGCCCCTGGACTACTATTACTACTAATAGTAATGCTTAAAATCCACCTAGCTAGGTGCGATTTTAAAAGTGGGCCTCTATCATATGCCACTTTTGCCGCTCGTTGTCATTCTATTAGGATATAGTAAGCACTAAAAGTGAAAGTAAATTGGGGCCGGGGAAAGGTTCCATCCCACCGTAGTTGTCAGAGCAGATCCTGTAAAAGTATTTAGCCGGACTTTCGTAAATATGTTTCAGAAAATAGCACCACCCAGGTTGAACATCTGATCGCTCTCTATGAGATCCACTTACGTATGACTCAGTAACTGACAACTGTGTATCTCGTTACCAGCGTGCCTTGTTTTCTTACCAATCAGAAAGAAGTTACGGGCCTTATTTTGTTCTGGCCAGCGTATCTAAGCTGTGTAAATAGAGTGCACTGAGTAGGCGTTTTGCTGTTTATGTGAGTCATGAAGAATATGGTTCGCACTCAAAGGAAGTCTTTAGTTATTAGTGCCTGTGACCATTGGATTCCGAAGTCTAGTTTTCTATGCTCCACAGTAGTGTACTGAAGTCGCAGGAGGGAAACATCTGGTAAGAAGTTCGTGCTAAGTCCTCGTGGCACATTTACCCCGATCTAATTAGGATTGCTTGTCATTTGAACTGAGTAAAACAGTGGTTGGCAAACTATTCCATCCGCCAGGCTTATTGCTAAAAGATATCATTCCAAATGCGACGCCACGGACAGTCTTCTATGAAGTTGACTTTAATTTGGTACATCCAGCAAAAGAGATTGTCAATCAGTCTACGTCTCTTCCGCAGAACAAATGGGGAAGACGTTCGTGGTCTAAGTGATTCTATCTGTAGTGTGGAGGTTCACTTCGAGGATTGGAAATGGAACTGACGAAAACAGTATTTCTGTAGTGTGATATCTAGCTGCACATAGCACTATGAAAACACTACCTATGACTGTCCTTCAACTATAGAAGTCTAGCTTACCACCTGGGCTACTGAGATGGCTTATTTTCCAGGACGTGTACGTACTTGACCTTTGTCATGAGGATAAATAGTTACTGCCTCACAGTGTCACACTTGGCCAGACTTTGCCAAAACTCAGATACTCACAGGACTCTAGGGTGAATAGTTGTAAAGTGGACGAGGAGTTGGCAAATCTTCGTTATTATTTTCCTAAAATTGAAGCATTGAACACTGTTTTCAGGCTTGCCCTTTTCACTACACAACCAACGCATTAATCCACCTCGCGTGTCAGCATCATTTCTACAACGCCATCGGGTTTCAGTAACCATAATTAGAGAAACAGCGGTGTGGTGGAGGATGGATTAGGGTCGTGGAGTTGGACCAATATCTGACGACATTTATAGTGTGTGCCGGATTTGGGTGTTCTGGCTAAACCAATAGGCTGTCTGCGACAACCTCTCTCAAGAGGTTGTTTCGTTTGTTAATCCTTAATCGCTGACCTGCATTCGATTAGAGAATAAAAAGACTCTAAGCGTTAATGGTGGTTCTCTACGGTGTGAATTACTCTGACCGCTGAAGAGTGCTTCCCAAGAATATGGCGTACAGAATCAGGACAAGTGAAGTGGTATTTCGGTGATCCTTGCGTTTGCTTTTTATCACAAAAAACATTAGTTTGATTGATCTCCAGCCCTGCTCCACTCAAATACACGGATCTCCCTTATATAAGTGGCCTAACTATGATCTTGGAGTGTTTCAATATTTTCATAACACGGGTTAACCTGAGTAATTTGTAAAACTACTGGTCAATGTTTTATCTGGTTGTAATTTTCAAACCAAATACACTTTATCGATCAGAAAATATCTTCGGAGGGTTTTTTCGCATAAACTTACATAGTCTAAAAAGCTCTAGTGTGGACAGTTCTTGATTTTTCTGGTAATGAGAAAGGGGGTAGATTTAAACGTATGGGAAAACTAGCAGAGTAACGCAAGGTAGACGCTTGTTCCTTGAAGAGTAATTTCTCTCTTATTGGGGCCATTTGTGGCCTTATGGAAGCGGCGGTGTTGCTGCCAGACAAGGCCGGATGGATAGCTGAAAAAGAACTTCAACAGAATATCAGTGAAACATTACAGAAACCTACTAAGCACATTTCTCTAAACATTTGACTAAGTGGCAGTGTTGCGGAGTATGGGTAGCTCAGGTATGCTGCTTGTTTGCTGGTCTGTTCGCCCAGCTTACCACTTGGATTGCAAACACTTCGTCAACAATCGAGGTGACGTCGTCAGTGCAAAATTGAGTTGGTGGAATCCCGCTCTTTTGTCTGCGCTTATATAGTTCTAAACAATATCTGTTAGCTTTAAAGCGATCGATTGGTTCCGAGGTGACCTTCGAGAAAATTGTTCGGTTACCTGGGAATATATATATATAT